AGGGGGGAGGAATGACTAGAAGAGAGGGGGGAGAGAAAAGAAAGGAGGTGAGTGTGGGGGGGGGTGAGGGGCACCCTAAGAGGGGAACAGGGTGGGCAAACAACGAGAGTGAAGGTTCTGGAAGACGTTCCACGGCCTGTTCAGGAAACCCAATAAGCAGTAAAATCCTTGCCGGGTTCTCACCAATATCATCACTGCCTCTAAGTTTCTCAACCCATTATTTCTCCTACATTATTACAAAGAAGAAAGTTAACCGAGTAGAAACACGATCCTGGAGCATGACAGTCAGGCGGGAGAGCTTGAGAACCCCGGCCCTGCAGACAGTGGATGTGAAAAGCAAAATGGGATTTTTCTGACACCTCAACTTTTGGCACCAGTGAAACTTCACCCAGAACATATTCTCTGAAGGATCAGGGATAATCTCCTTTCACCGAGACCCTTCCATTAGCCGCGCTCTTCTTTGGAAAGCTTTGAACATGATGCTAAAAGCAGATTCCTCGTTGCTAATTCCGAAATCCTCTCAGTTCCCATAAAGCTGGAGACAAGATATCCCAGGCTGACGACATCCAAAAGCAGGCATTAAGTTACCTGCCTCTCGGCAGTCCAGCCAGCATTCAGAAAACGTGGACGCTCTTTACCGACTTGAATTACAATATGAAAGTAGCTGTCCACGGACCCGTTTTCTCTGAGCATGAGAAATATTATGTCCGAACCAGAGTGTCAAGTTCAGGATCCGCGGGGTGTGACCGTCTCCTGTGACTGTCTCTAATCCCTCATATTCTCATGCTTTCTCCCCCTTCCTGTTTCACAGACACGTGCACCCACTCACACCCACCACTAAATGGTAGCCTGCTCACGTTAATAATCCAGAGACTAACCACAGTTAGAGGCCATCCAGCCCAGTGCCCTTCAACAGACACTGAGAGGACACCTGTGGTCAACAGAGACGAGCAGCTGGTGACGGCCCAAAACCCAAATCCCGGTCTCCCAGTTTCCCTGAGGCGTCTGTGTTCCCCACTGTCACACACCACGTCCCAGTGCAAGATGTAAGAACGTGTGTGATGACACTGGCGCTCCGCCCTGGCCCCAGGGGAGGACAGACAGGAGGACCCTGGCTCGGCCGGTCTCACTACTTGGCCGGAGCCGGCCACCTGACCGCTCTCCTCGGTGCCGCGGGACGTGCGCCTTCTGCGGAGACCAGGAGCCACGTGGACAGCCCTCCCCGTTTTGTGCGTGCTCCGGTGGCTGACACCCCCGCTCAGTGAACGTCCTGTGGTGTATCGAGGGTCTTCGGGGGTCTCTACGGGACAGAGAAAAAGAGGTCAGCTGGCTTCCGGCTCCCCCACTGTGAGCACGTGGCCGCAGCTCCCTCCTCCGTGGGAAACGAGCGCAGTGGCTATAGCCACGTCTCAGGGCCGCCGCGGGCACCAGCGCGGGGCACGCGCGGGGCGCAGCTCAGCACACAGTGGGTGCTCGGCGGAGGCTGGTTCCCCTCCACCAGGCGGGCTGTGGGCGGCTGGTCCCAGCGCCTTGACGTTCACTGGATGATGGCATCTGTGCCATCTGTAGTGACTTAGGGCTGATTTCACTCAAGCGAAGTGAAAGACAAATGCATGGCACGGACTTGGTTTGAGATTTTTCATCTCCCAGCTTTGTTATGTTTCAAATTTAAAAAATAAATCGGTTTTGTTCAACTCTATACTACATTTTAAATAAATAACCCCAACCCCCAATCTTTCATTTAGGTGGTGGCACAGGACAAAGAACAAAGCCAAACCAAACGCCTTCTTTTTAGAATTAATATTGCTTTATTTCACTTCAGTTTTGGTTCATATCTTTTGTTTAAATCCCTCCTTTCTTTATACCACACACACTCACACCCCTTAGTATATCGTCAAAAGCAAAACTAACTAGTTTTCTAACTGGACTGGTGCCCCACACATGGTCTCTCAACCAAAAGGAGGGATGATCTTGGATGGAGAAAAGCCTGTGTGACTTTTTCTTTCTATACTTTGAGGGATGAGCTGGCCGGAGCCTGGCCGTGCACAGAATGGTCCAAACGGCAGCTGTCAGGGGCCAGCTGCCACCGCCTTCCTCACCTGAGGGTGGACGCCTTCCCTCCGCTGGGCAAAGAACCCAGGAGCTCTCCCAGCCCCGAGGCTCATGCTTCCTTGAACACAATGGTGGCAACGCATCAAAAATCACCTTTCAGGAGCTAGCCTGAGGCTGTGAACATACCGGACTCAACGTGGATGTGAAAGCCGGGCGAGTGTTGCCTGGGTTCGAGGATGGCTGCAAGGGAGGGAGGAGATGCCGAGCTGGAAAGGAGGGTGCTCCCCAGCAGCCCCTCCCCTGGCCCCCCGTCTCTGTTCTTGGCCCTCCCACCCTGTTCCAGGGCCCAGCCGCCTCAGGGGCTGCACTGGAAGGTGAGCCATCGGCACGCTCACAGAGGTGAAGGCTGCAGAGCGAGGGCTGGGGCGAGGACACATCCGCAGAGGGCCGCGGAAAAGGAGCTGCTTTGGTTCGAGGGGAGGCGCTCGCTGGGGGCAGCGAGGAGGCGTCGCCCCGAGTCAGGAAGGCGAGCTCGGGACACGGAGCAGGCGCCGCAGGTCTTTCCTGCAGAGGAAGCTGGGAGGCACCCTCGAGGAGCGCAGAACACAAGGACNTTTCCTGCAGAGGAAGCTGGGAGGCACCCGCGAGGAGCGCAGAACACGAGGGTGGCGCACGGTGTCTCCGCGGGGACCGTGGCGATGGCCGTGTGCGTGCGTGCATGTGTGTGTGTGTGTGCTCACGCGTGCACACGTGTGCTTTCCTGAGTGGGACGGCACCTCCACTGAAAAGGCTCTTCCCGCCTCCCCACACAGCCAGTCCATTCTGAGCTGGTTCTGCTTCTTAGACAGCTGGTCCCTCCAGGAGCTAAACTGGGTCCCAGTGGCGTCGAATCACTGCTCGTATTCCCAGCGCTGCAGGGGTCAGAGCTCCGAGCCTCTCACCCTGCCGGCAGCGGGCTTGCAAGCGCCTTTGGATTCTCTCTCGTTCCTTTGCAACGTCCGTTTCCCCCTAAAGGCCTGACGTGCACATTCTTCCCCCTCCTTTCACCAGAAGCTTCATCGCCTACAGCGGGCCGTCCGCAGAGGTCCTCGGTCCCCTCGGTGGTCTTCATGGGTGTGTCTGCCCTGGTTCTTTGCTGGGGTTGCACATCCTGTTTGGCTCTTTGATCACATAAAAAGGAGCGTATACACCTGTGCACACGCAGGCTTCAGCCTCAGATCATGTGGGCGAGGCCCAGCCCTCAGGCGGGCACTGTCTCGTTGAAGAGTCCCTGGGCACCTGCAGCTCCGGCACCCCCAGCAAATGCAACCAGCCCACGCGATGCTTGTCCTTTAACAGGCCCGCGGACTGTGCCCTCGCACAGCCACCTCGCCAGGTCCCTGCTGCAGCACTAGACTCTGGAAGAAGGCTCAGGGGCCTCCCCAAAGGCGACTGTGTCACCACCGTGCAACATGTTGCTCATGCGTTAAGCTGCTCAACAGAGTAGCAAGACCTGGTGCGGAATCGGGACGAACTGATTCACCCTGCGGTTGCCGCTCACTCCAGCCACCTTGGCTTCGGAGGATTAAACTGGACACAATGTTAACGCGCCTGGTACAGTCTCTGTCATCTCCCTTATTCCTTTCCCCGGGAACCACGTCCTGAGACTGTGGAAGCCTCAGAGCAACACGTTTCCATGTCCTCACTTGAAATACGACTTCCTGGCTGAGAAGGACACCCTGTCACCAGGCCGCCTGCCTCTGCGTGGGCCTCCCCACCAGCGTCCTCGCCCGCTCTGGGCCCCTCGGAGGGATTGTCCTTCTGGGGCACGTCCTCGGTCTGGCTGCCCCGCTGCGCACGTCGCCACCTCCTGCGTTTGATCACCTGGTCGCTCTCGGGACGCGGTGAACTCAGTGGAGTGAACGGGAGGCTGCGTAGCGTCGGCCGAGGCCGAGTGAGATTTCTCACGGTGGCGGAGCCGGAGCTGTGAACTCTCCGGGTTCCCGCACACGAGGGCACTTTTCGATAATGCTGAAAATTGAAAGAAGATAAAAAAATTTTACTTTCTATTTAATGTTTTCATGGATGGAAAAGAATTTGTTTCGTATATCTAGTGTCCCTTGCAAGTGCTGTTTCGTATGTGAATGTCCTGCAGTTCAACTGACAAAAACACGGCGGGTGACCTGATATCCAGCTTCATCGGAGGCAGTCATTCCAGCAAAGTCCGTGCTTCCCGCGCTCAGAATTTGTCTCCTTGTAAATTCCACGCGTCGGTCCCATTTGCCCCGTGGAACAAGGTGGAATAAACCTGCTTCTTTCTGCAAGGCCGCAGCTCTCACGTGAGGATGGTCTCCAGGTTAAAAGGTACAATTCTCTCGGCCACTCCTGATGTGGTAGGTGGCTTGGGGCTGTTCCCGGAGCTCTCCCAGGAGGGGCCGCAGCAGGAAGGAGGGAGCTACCCCACTTTAACCGCGGTTACACGGGGGTTACCGCCCGCTCTTGGCAGTCCTCCAGGTTCTACCCGGCTCCACTCCTGACCTTCTTGCTCCTGCTCTGGAATCAGCTTTCCACGTCGTACCTTTCCTAGGACCTAGGTCAAGTCCATTCTCTGGCTCTTCGGGCCCCTGCTTGCTTTGGTAGCATCCTGCATGGGGACCCTCCTCAGCCCGACCCAACTGTCTTACTTGGGGCCACCCCAGCCCCCAACCCAGTGGGCCTTACATGCTGCACCATTCAAGCTGGGAGCCCAGTGGGGGTCACTGCCATTCTGATTGAGCATCGTCCCCCCTTTGAAACTCTCCTTGGACTCCAGGTCCTCCACGGGCACCGTTTTCCTCCAGACCCCACACTCGAGGTCAGTGTGCTTTCTTAGCTCACCAATTCCAGAGATTGAATAGTCGGCTTTCTTTCCTTCATCAAGAGCTTTGTTCATTTGCATCACAGAAAATGCCATCATCCAAAATGTTAACAATTTGATTCCTTTCTAATAATTTTAAATTTTTAAATATTTCACTCTAAAAAGACACAATGATTGAAAAAGATGCTTTCACGTGTTATATGTGGCATTTTACTTGCAATTCGATGCTTTAGAACAGCTGCTGTTGTTGAAACATACAGACAACAGAGAACTACCAGCTCATCGGGTGCCGGGGGGTTTCTGCGGCGTCCTGGGCGCCGGACCTCGCGCCCGCTGCATCGTCAGTCTGTGCGGCTGCGCTGAGTGAACTCCGGCGGCCACTCCTGGCTCAGCAGAGTCTCCTGACGCGCTCGGAGTGCGTCACCTTCGCTCGTTATATCGGCATAACTTTGAAAGTGGCTGATTGTGAAAATGACCCCTTAGCAAGCATTTCATTGTTGAATGCTTCTGGTGTTTATAATCCCAGATAAACACAATTCCACAATAGTATTATATTCAATTTGGGGCTTTTGTATAGCCAGTTTTTTTTAAACCGTTAACAAGTCTGTGTTATCTGACAATTACATGTAAGCCCCGTGGTGGCAGGAGCCCAGGTTTAATACCTGGATAGACCACACAGCGTCTAGTTCAAGGTTCACACTTAGTCCCTGGGGTGGGGGGAGTCAGCCCTGCGGAGTGCAAACATCACCAACAAGAGATTTTCCTGGTCTTGTTCAAAGAGATGGGCAGGAAGCACGAACCAGTCAGGAGACAGAACTAGAGCCACGAAGCGCAGAGGCCAGGAGCCACACCGAAACCTGTTGGTTTAGGGGACCTTGGAGGAGCCGTGGACAGGGAAGGGGCCAAAACAGGCCCATTGAGAGGAGACTGCAGAGGAAACCCTGGGGTCAGGAGAATCATTCCTGACCACACCGAGGATACGGACACGCACGGAAGCCGGGGACCAAGTTCCTCAAGCTGGTCTCTGAGGAAGGCAGCTTCAGGGCAGGCCCTCCGCCGGGTCATGAGGAAGGAGGACTGGCTCTGGGGGAAAGTGGGGGGTGAAAGAAAAGTGAGAATGAACATGACGAGGGCCCAGGGGAAGGATGTCCCAGTGCCATTCCAGCCGTGTTTGCTCCTGACCTCAGCCCTGTCTCTCCCTACACCTGGAGGCACCTGGCAGGGCCTTCGACAAACGCACAGAATCAAACATGGTTTCTGTCTCTGTCTCTGGACTTGCTTGCTCTCATCGGAGCTCTCACTTTAGCTCCTGATCGCTCTCCTTTTACCAGACGACAAAAATGCAACTAATATGCAGTTCAAGTCATTACTGTCATGGGTACCTACAGCCAAGGAAACGACACCTCGAGCCTCAGCAAGCTACATGAAACACAGAGGCACCAATAGGAGACACACGGCCTGCTCCGGGGCGACGAGAGAAGGGAAATGCGGGAATGGGAGGGCGATTCGGAGGGGCCCAGGGGAGTGAATGGCTGAGCTCCCGGTGAGCCGGACACCGCCTGGCACCACTCTGAGTATCAGCTCTAACCTTGAAGAGGTGCTGGGAGCAGACATCGTTCTGTCCATCTCTAAAGTAAGGAAACCGAGACGAAAAAGGTGACGCCGTTTCCCAAGGCCGCGCAGCTCAGTGGCCAAGCCGGCATTTAAGCCGGGGCTCCCCTGACTCATGGTCTGCTTCCTTCTCCTAAGGAGAGTCTTCCACGGAGATCCTCTGTGTTGGAAACACCGGTAGCTCTTGGATGCATTGCAGCCAGTCTTCCTTGGTGCCCCTTTCCCGAGGTGGGTGAAGGCAGTCGCCAGGGCAGCCTTACACGTTTACTCTTGGGTGCTCTCTGGCAGCCTCCAGAGCCTGGCTTTCTCACACTTTCCCTCCTCCCTTACTTGGCTATTACAAATGGAATAGCACGAATGAATAAAACTGCTTCTGATGAAAGATAATGTGACTGGAGCAGCTTATGTAACGGGTCTTGATGACACGGTCTGCTGCCTCCCAGGCTGGACGTGACTCTTAATTCTCCTGCAGGTGCAGAAGAGCCTGCGCGGCCACTGTGCCCGGCCTCTGGCTACTCGCTTTCAACAGGAAGGGCATTTATAGACCCTTTGCGGGGGCAAGGAAGCGGCACCCCGGCTCCAGGGCTGGAGGGGTCCGCGCTTGCAAGCTGCTGGGAAATTGCCAAGTACTGTTCAGATGATTTCTGTGCCCGATCCAAGGGGCTGTTTACTCATGGGGCCTGAATCTTTCCGATCTCAGGAAGTACAAGTGATACTTGGCTGCAGTCAGTGCCCCAAAAAAACCCTCAGAGGCTAGTTGGCATCTCATCTTGAAAGTCTCCCATGGTCATGCAAGAACAGCCAAGTGCTGACACTGTCTGTGGAAGATAAGATTAAGGCTGCCATGAGACCTCATTGTGGACCCAGGTTTTGTCTGGTCCACCTCTGAGCTGCGCTATTGCGGGGCGTGGGCCTCCTGTGCATGGGGTTCAGCCAGGAGTTGCTGGGCACTGCAGGTTCCCGCTGGCCTTGCAGGTCTGTCCCTGTATCCCGGTGGAGAGACTTGTTTGCCTTCTGATCTATCTGTTCAGGACCCATTCGTTCATTCATTGAACAATGTAAGGTGAGCACCTACGTGCTCTGGGCTCTGTGTTGGGATCGGGGACCACAGTGCGACACAGAAGCACCATACCTCTTACCCTCCAGGATCTCACAGGTCAGTAAAACAAACATCACCGGGCTGTGTAATTTCTAACAGTGAATGGTTTGGAGAAAATGACAGCCTGACTCTGAGGGTGCAGAGCATGGATTGAATCCAGTCTGCAGAGTTGGGGTGGACATCCCTGGGCAACGATGTTTGAGATTTGGGGAAAGCATGCTAGTCCACAGACCCTTGGGCTGAGGATGACTTGAGACCAGGCCTGGGCGCGCACTGGGCATGGTCACACCGACACCTGGCATCGGCAGAGCTCTCTCGGTGTTAGCTCTGAAGATGGTGGCAAACTTTGCAAAGAAAGTTGAAGTCTTTGCCTGTGCAGGTGCAACCTCAACCAAGTGGCATCTCTCCTTTCTCCAGACTGCTCGGCACCTGGTTGGGCTCGCCTTAGCCAGGAATCTATTTCCTCCGTTTGTTTTACGGGGTCAGCCAACCGTCCAGCTTTCCCTTGAAACCTTGTCTCCTCCCTGACCACCGCCTGCTGCCACGGTGCCGTCTTCCTCTCCAGCCCCACCCTCGCCCTCACCACCCCACACTGGCCCAGCCTCCCCTCTCCTCTGTGGTTGGTTTCTACGCATCTCCTGAGACTTCTAGGCCACAACCGAGACCGTGGGAGAAGAGACAAGAGCCATCCCTGGTCCTGTGCTCCCGCAGTTACAGGGAGCGAGGCCAACGGTGCGCGTCACTGCGGGCGGCTGCCCCGCACACTCACCTGGGCGCTGAGTCCCTCGGTGAGATCTGCCCAGGTCTGCCCCTGGTGGATTACCTTTACCTGGGAAATATGCACTCTAAGAGGTTTTAATAAAAGAACTGTGTTTTCCTTCCTTTATTGTGTTCCACGCAGGCTGGGAGAGCACAAGCTGAAAGTGAATTTAACGGGAAAGTTCGGTTTTGTTTCCCTGGCAATGCTCCTTCAGTCTCCTTACCATTGGAAGCTGCGCTGGAGGCCTGTGTTTCCGCCTCCTTCCGGCTGGTGGGAGCTGAGCCCTGGACGCAGAGCCTCAGAAAGCGATTCAGCGGCACCAACCTTGGAGCCCCCCCTCCCTCAGCTCCGTGCACCCCACGGGCACTGAGCTGATACGCATCCTATTTGCTGGGAAAAGCGGGCACAGGAGATTTAGTGTTGTGATGTCATACACCAGGGCCCGCGTCAGCAGAGCAGGGTCCCTGCAAGGCCAAGACAAGGAGTTTGGTGGCTCGGGAACAGTGGCTGGAAGGTCAAGGTCAAAGTAGAAACGATCCGGCAGTTGGGATAGTCAGGGCAGGAGCACTGGGGTGTAGGAACGGTAACCCACTGAGAGTCCTGGGAGAAGGAAGCCCTAGTTCATCCACGTGAGTAATTTGCATTTGGTAAAATTTGGTGCACTTTCTACATGAGGAGACCTCGCGGAGGAGTTTCTGCTGAGAGGGAGGCTTTACCATGTAGTGGTCCCTGTCCAGGTCCCAGGGACAGGCTGCCGAGATTTAAGTCTTGGCTCCGCCCCTTACTAGCAGTGACCTGGGAAAGCCTCCTGCTTTTCCGTGTCTTAGTTTTCCCATCTGTACCTGGCCGCAGTGGTAGTTCGGGCTTGGAGAGATGGTTCGTTAAGAATCTACACAAAGCACACAGAGCCGAGCCCGGGGCCTGCGTACCTGCTGACTAGCGTTAGGCCTTGAACTGCCGCTTGCTTGTCGAAGAGAGAGCACTTGCCAGCCTTTTTGAGCCCTTGAGAAAATCTCACTAGAACTGACAAAATATGATCTCCCCCGAAACTAATTCCGTGAGAATTTGTTCCTATTTTGTAGCTGCTCCTTTAACCAGGTGATGTGTACTGGGGAGAGTCTCCAGTCCAGGCCGCAGAATCCGTCCCACAGCGCTGTGTGCAGGGGCTCAGCCCGCACCTTGCGCTGGAGTGCGGGGGACGCGGGGGCTCGAGGCCGCGAGGAACAGCAGGGCAGGAGACGACGGAGGAGGGAGGAGATGACAGGGAGAGGAGCCGGAGGAGATGGGGTCCCGGGGCCTCGGGGTGCACACAGACGGCACCTGCACTCCCCCGCCCCTCCCTGCACCAGGTTTGCTCCTTCCCAGGAACCGAGGCCCTGCTTGGGCTGAGTTGCTTTGCTCCTGAGCCTGGAAGGGCCGCGTGTGAGAGGTAGGTCCCGAGTGTGACGTTCCTGGGAGTGATCACGCCGCTCGGCGGCCACAGCGAGGACACAGCGAGGACCCAGGCGAGCTCAGCCCGGCCATCCTCCTGCCCAGGGCTCTGTGTGGTGGGAGACGTGGAGCAAGATTTCTTTTCACCCTCAAGGTTAAGCTCAGAAAAATACTAAAAGGGCTAAATGCCTGTGT